ACAGAAAGATAGTGAGAGGGAAACAACAGAGAAAACGGGGGAGGTGAAGATGGAGGAAGGAGGGAGAGGAAGAGAGAGAGAGATGTGGAAGATTATGATAGAAGAATGGACCAAGAAAATATCAGCTGACTGGTAGAGCAGGAAGAATATTGTTTAAGAAAAGTTTGGGAAAATTGTGCTCTTAAGAAAAGGACAGAGAGACAAATGACACACTGGAAAAAAGGAGAGAGAGGTAAAGAGATATTTAAAGGAAAATGTTAAACAAAGTGAGGCCTCAGGGGAAGGTGACACGAAACAGATGAAGAAGAGTGAACAGAAAGAAAATGGATGGAGGATATGGATGAGGATGAAAAAGGTGAAAGGTGTATGTTCAGATTGATATACACGGAGTGGAAAGAAAGGGGGTGAGACAAACCAGATTCAAGGAGGAAAAGTTATGAAATGAGTGTAAAAGAAAAGGTGAAAGGAGGGAGACAGGTGAGCAAAATAAAGTCAGAGGAATAAAATGAGGCAAATAGACCAATGATAGATGGAGCAAGAGAAAAGGCCGAAACATAGGTAAACATCCAAGGGGGTTGTTTGAAGATTGCATAACGACTGGAGCTGGACCAACCCAACCAATCAGCCGACAACTTCCTGCAATAATATTGTACTCAACTCGGTCCCATACAGCAACTGCATCGTTTGTTTACTGTATGATTACAGCAGAACCTGAGGGCAAACATTTTATTACATCTTTGGAAATTATATTGCATCACAGTTATTGATGATACTCTGTTTCCTCATCGATACAATGCAGATTTCTCTACAACTGCAGTTGGGGAAAAGAGTGTGCGTTTCAAAAGTTGTCCATGTGCTGAGTCCCTCTGAACTCAAGTCCACAGGGGCTGAGCTTTAATGCATGTGTGTGTCCGTTCTATATATAAAATGCAATGTTGGTGCTGCGTCCTTCTCCCCTTCATACGGTGAGTGGTACTTTCTATTCTCTTTTCTCAAGTTGAATATTGTTAGAAAAATGCTTCTGACATTTTTGGGTTGCAGACTTTCGGACGTCCTTGCATGTCTTTGCTGAGGTACTTTAGCGAGCGCGATCCAGTTCTGCTCACTGACCACGGGGCACCCTGAATTTCACAAAGCAAATGCATCTTCATCTTCAAATTAAATGCGGGAGGTGTCTTTAATTGAAACTCTGAGTGGTTTGACATCTGAAGTAATAAGAGCAGAGCAGCAAAAATAAAAACTGCACTGGAGATCAAATATTTTGGGTACCTCTATTCAGAGAAATGGGTTCCATCCAGAATACCCTTGTCATCTGTGTAAAAGTGTATTAACTGCTCTCATTAATAATAGCTGGATATCTGTGTTGCCATGTCCTCTTTCTTTTCAGCTCTGGTTCAAAATCTCCTGGGGAGCCACAACGCTGATTTAAAGCTTCACTCTGGGATCGCTGGAATCAAAATCCTGTCACTTTGAAACAGGACTTCTGTAAAGCCACGGTTACTTGGGTGCACTCGTGTTCGCCTTAGAGCAGTGCAGAGAAGTTTCATTAGACCAAAAGGAGGTTTGCAGAGGAGCAGAGGGCATGTTTCCATGTCTACTGTCCAGATTTAAACCTGCGTCACTGTAGAAACTTAATACAGAGAAAAATTGAAGAAGCAGACATCATGGCACTGGTCACACAGTTTGACTGACAGGTGATCTCTGGGAAGTACAGTTCAAAAACACCACAGTAAAAATATTCCCAAGAAACAGCAATATACAGTAAATCTTTCTGAGCATTTGAATAAGGTAAATGAACCAGTATTAGTCACTGACAGTCTGTTTTTTCATCTCTAAATACCCATATTTCCCTGTAATTGGCCTCGATGGTCTGGATGTTTTGAGGCACATTTCATTTTTTATGGTGGTGACCGGCAGCGAGCCGCGTTCCTGCTACTGAAGTAAGAATAGTGGCCCCAGTCCAGCTCAGTCATGCCAACATTAACAAAGATGAAAAGCAGCAAGTAAGCCATGAAAAAGAAAGCCAAATATTATGGCGCATAAGGCAAATGAGGTGGCATTAAGGCAGGCGGAAGTTGCTTTGCCTTAGGAATTGGGAGTCTCAAGATAAAATCTTTACAGGCTAGTATGAAAATAAATCATCCACATGGCTCATTCCAAGTGACTAAACATATCAGAGCCAGTTTAAGTGATACTTCTAGATTCCTGTAATCACACTCACTGAGGTCCAGAAAGGGCAAAGCTGCCTTCTAGTCTGTCTCTCATTCCATCTATTGTCCACCCCCACCACATGTAAAGTGGCGTCAAAGCAACTTCTTTTTCTTTATCATATCATCTTTGTCTCCTTTTCTAGATTAGTCTGACTAATACATGACTGACCGCTCATGTTTCAGACCTGATTTCCTTTTAGCAGTGTTGAAGAAATTCATGTGGTGAATACAATGTGTGTCCTTATAGGCAGGTCTCGCCGCCCGGAAGACATCTCGGCAACACCCCCGGGCAGCTGCAAGACCGGGCTCCTATCCTCCTATAAATGATGGGAAGGGGGCCATAACTGCACTTTCAAAGGTCTCCAGGATGTAAAAACTTTGCCCCAATCAATCAAGCTCAATCAAGACGCGACAGTCAGTTCACCCCACAAGAGTGAGTTCATGTCTGATGTTTATATCCATCTGCACCTGCTCCTTTCTGCCACGGACTGTTACCGACTTTTCTATAAGAGCTTTGGCTCCTCCCTTATAATGTCTCTGCTGACTCTTATTCAATATGTAGAGAATTCAAAAATCAGAACGAGGGGCATGTTGTGACCCATTAGATGCCCTGATGCCTTATCAGTAAACCAAAATAAGATGGAGAAAAGTAGTGACCATGACACAAAGCCTTATGAGAAATAAAGCTAGGAGATGTTTTGGATCCAACACCAGTGATGGAAAAATCATGGATAAACATGAGGCTGTTTGCAGACTTTGTAAAATGCAGTTGTCAAACAACATTTGTTTGCATTTGATTTACTGAAATAGTGATGCTGACAGTAGGAATATGGTCATGCAGGCCATCTTTACAACAAAGCTGCTACAGAACCAGGCAGGTTTTACAGTTTACCACTGAATAATGACTTAGAGGAGAACTCCACCAGTTTTACACATCAAAGCCTGTTTACAGGTCATAGGCATCACCACTGCATATGTGAAAACTGTTGTATAAAGTCTTTTGTGGCACTCTGTTTGTGGCTCGAGGCTACATTAGTCACTACAAACACGCCCAAATAGCTGACTGAACTGGTTGTGTTGCATTGTGGGGAATGTAGGCGCCAGGTTTTGACAAGGAACAAGGACACGTGTAATAAAAAAATAAAGCATATCTGGTTTGAGCTGTGAATTGAGAGTGAACAGTGTGAGAAGAGATTAGTGTTCAGGTGCTGGAGTACTCTTTTCAGGATGATGTGATGTGACAACTGAACAACCTTTTGTTTCTAGTTGTGTGCCTCAATAAAACTGATCGCAGGCGGAGTGTAGAGAGGTTTTACCATCATGTTGGAAAGACGATCTGACTCTTTGCTAAACAGTGTCACTACTGCACCTCAGGCAACAAATGGCCTATTATCTTAATACCCCCCCACACACACACACACACACGCACACACATACATATATGTATGCAGGCACATGCACAAATCAAGACATCAGGATAAAATTAGTATTTAAAGACTCTGTGTATTATGTGAATGCATGAACACATTCTGACACACGTGCAGATGGACAGGATGACGTGTGCTCTGGCCCAGATATGCAGACACAGAGACACTTGCACCGCGCACACACTGCAAAACATGCGGACACAACGCAGTGATAATTTTGGCTATCAACAGGTCATTCCTTACGTGCCTCTTGGATAAATAGACAGCCAGAAATAAAGAGAGAGATGGTGTGTGTGAGGGAGAGAGAAAGGGAAAAACATAGACAGAGATTATGATGGGGGGTGGTGGGGGGGTTGATTGAGCTGCTCTGTAATGTCATTCGATCTGACCAGGAGCAACATCACACTGATATATGTATATACACACTTACCACTTTCCCATTCAAGTGATTGGCGAAAGTGGTTTCAGACTTTGGGACTCCACTGTATACTATATATAAACATATGGTAGATGAGTGGAAGGAGAACAGAGAGATAACCACAGATAAAAAGGTAAAGGTGGAGATGAAACAGAAAGAACAAAGGGTAGATGAACGTTGCTTTGTGTGTGGGATTTGTTTATGGAAATTTGCACCACAGAGCCACAATGTAATTCTCAAAATGCTACATCCTGCTGACTCACTGTTCCTTTTGGCTAATTATGTCACCTAAATGCTTAAAATGTCACATCCAATATTATTTAACTAATGGTTTAAGCACAGAAAGGATAAGGAGGAGAGGATGGTTGCTGGAAATGACACATGTATGGACGGAGTGAAAGAGCTGGAGGACTAAAAGGATGAAGACCACAAGGACAACAGGGAGAAGGAGGAACAAGAGGATGAGAAAAACAAGATGAGGCAAATTGATGAAAGCCATTCTGGCTGAACTAATGGACTGAATAAAACCACAATAAGAGACCAAGGGACACAAAGAGAGAGGAGGAAGAAACAACTATTTAAAAAGACAGTTAAAATGAAGGAAGAGGGAGTGTTGGTATGTGGTAGAGTTAAAGTAATCCACATTTGCACTTATGTTGGTACATTAAAAATCCATTGTGGTCTGCTTTAGAGCGGCCCATTTGTATTTGATCTTCTCTACTCTGTGAGATAAGAGACAGTGTATTTGGCCTACTTTGAGACCAAGCAGCGTGTGTGTGTGTGTGTGTGTGTGTGTGTGTGGGTGTGTGTGTGTGTGTGTGGGTGTGTGTGTGTGTGTGTGGGTGTGTGTGTGTGTGTGTGGGTGTGTGTGTGTGTGTGTGGGTGTGTGTGTGTGTGTGTGGGTGTGTGTGTGTGTGTGTGGGTGTGTGTGTGTGTGTGTCTTACCAGGTTGGAACCTCCAGTCCAGTAGAGGAAGAAGCCATCTGGGTCAACTTTCAGGGTTACCAGTGTGGGAGGCCCACTGTTGGGCTCCTAGACAACAACAGAAATAGAGCTGTTAGAAGGACACACACACACAATATACATTTCTCATTCTCTCACACACGCATACACACACACAGAGATGAATGTGAAGAGATAAAGTGAGCTCCATAACCAGAAGCCACTGAGCACTTAAAGGATAATCTGTTTATTACAAAACGGGTCTTATTTGGGGGTCATTTACATCGGTTATGATAACAGTCAACCCAAAGTAACTGTTGAGATCTGGAAACACAGCAACATTACTACGACAAGGACAGATGAGGCAGGAAACAGACAATACTCCATAGGGATGTAAACTGAAGAGGGAGCACACTAGAGTATCAGTAATAAACCATTGTATGAGCGTACAAGAAAACAGTGTGCACACAAACTTCAGTAAATAAGGCAGGTTACAGTTGAACCAAGAAGTAAAGTGCGATGGATGTTTGCAACAGACGGTTTGGGTAAAAATCTTATCGTTCACTTTTGTTCTCTCTTCCAAATATGATCCTGGCTGATCGTCTGACTGCTCATGCTTCTTTCCAGACTGTCTACTTTTCTTTTTTTTTTAAGCAATGTTGCTGTGTTCCCACACTTTAGCAGTTAACTTATTGAATACAATGTAGAACTTTATTCAAAATTTAATAATAATATGTAATTATTTGTTCAAGCACAACAGGCCGTTCATGGAACTTCAGACGCAAAAAGCACTGTTGTCTTATCAGTATTGCAGCCTGTTGTTGTTCTCTGTGCTGATGCTAAATGGAGAAAACTATGGAAGGTGCTCTGAGGGAATAAGAAAGACATCAAACCATCTGAGAAGAACATTCAGTTATGTTGGCATGTCAGTCAATCTACAGCACACATTAGGATTAAGGTCATGTTGGCTGCACTTCAAGTAAATCAAAGAATCACGTGTTTTAATCAATTTGAAAAGGTTTCTATTTCATTTTAAAGTGACACTACTGGCATTAATATTAGTAATTAGTAAAACTAAAATAAGACCCACATTGTATGAAACCATAATTTTATTTTGAGCACTGAATCTCTTTACTACAGATTAGGTTTCTCAATTAGTGGGCTCACGTCTGCTTTAGAGCTTTAAAATGAAAATTAAATGTAATCTTCATGTGCAGCAAGTTCATTGAGGAGCCCCAAAAAGACACAGGCCCTTTGTCTTTTGAAATCTCAACTTACTCTCTGGTGCAGTTATTATCTTTAAGTCTCATGACTATAGAAAGACTGTGTGATGTGAAATAAGCCCTTTATGGCAGCAGCGGCTACACCTGCTGCTTTATGGTGCCTTGCCATTATTGTGGACAGACAGAAAGACAGACATAGATATTGTGTTTGTGCGCACGTGTCGTGCAACAGCTGTTTTGATGCTGGAAACCACACAGTTTGGCCAACATGAAGTTCTCATTCATGTGCAGCATAATGATGGCACAGGAGCCTGCATCAACATGTCATTAGCATCATCATTATGGAGCCATAGGCAAGATACCATGACCGTGCACACACATATACATACATACACACACACACACACACACAGCTACTGGCTCTGTAATTACAGTGGTAAGTGGTTATATTCTTCTCCAACAAACACATCGTCCAGACATCCTGGGAAACGACGATGATGATCCAGATTGTTTGTTATTACAGTGACAGATGACTCATGTACACGTGTCGTCATGAGCATCATCATCATCACCATCAGATGGGAAAAGTGAGAAAGGTCAGCGTGGGAACCCACAGAAAACTTTGCCACAAACATACTATCAGAGGAAATAGGCTTGCAACAACGCATCACGCAAACAGTTTACCACTGACCACATACAGAAGGTATTTTGTAATGTGGGGTATTAACAAATAAAATGGCTACAGCATGATTCACACAAAGCTGATGTAGTATGGCCATAGTTTCATGTTTTACACATATATGTGCAGACATGAACTGAAAGGCTGAACGTTGAACATTTGAATAATCATCTGCATAAAACAGATAATAAAAGCATAACATAATTTATGCAAATCAATTTCACAGTTACTTCAGTAAACAGATACTAAAGGGACAAGCAAATTCTACAGGACTTCATAAAAGACTAGCCTATATTCCTTTAATAATCATAAATGGAGGGATAACCCCTCAGTAGTTATAAAACTGGTAGCCTATAAAGCAAACAAAAAAGCATGCTGTGAACTTAGTTTTATAACAGTTAAAATTTCAAGTAAATAGTAAAAGTAAAAAATAATTACACCTAACTATGAAACTGAACTTATTTGATGTTTAATACATCTTGTTAAAGAGATTAATATTTTACTATTCATTTGATATTTTGGGAAATACACTTAATTGCTTTCTTGCTGAGGATTAAATGAGAGGCTCCTAATCACTCAGGCCTATATGCTAATTATAGGCTACAGTCGGTTAGCTTAAAAGAAACTGCATAAAAACTGAAAACAAGGTGAAAGCGCTAACTTGTTTCTGTCTAAAGATAACAAAATGTGCCTACAGCACCTCTAAAGCTAAAATGTTATATCTCACTTGTTTCATTCTTACAAAAAACTAATTGTAAAAAGAAAAATATATAATCTGGTAATTTGTTTGCTAGTGAGACAGGCTAGCCATTTCCTTGCTTACAAGTCTTTATGCTAATGTTAAGGCACACATGAAACACATATATTTCTCCACAAGAAGACAAATAAACATATGTCCAAAAATGTCAAACTATTACTTAAAGAAGTCTCCGTAGTTTTAACTTTTGGCCCATTTGCTGGGAAAAGCTGAACATACCTTAAGTTTAGGCTCCAAGGTTGGCTAACGCAGAAAGGGTTAGCGGGTGAGGTAGAAGTTTGGATTGGGACGAGGAAAGAAAAAGAAAGAGGAAAAAAGAGATGGTTAAAAAAGGAAAGGATGGGACGAAGACGGGCAGGAATGGGGTTAGAGGAAAGGGTGAGGGTTGAAAAAGAAAAAGAAACAAAAGGTCAGGAATAGAAGAAGAGAGCATGCAATTAAAGTCAAGTGTTCAACCTCATCATGAGGCCTTAATAAAAGAACAGTATATTTAGTCTTTATAAAGTGTACATCCTTAAGAGTTAGGTAATTATGAGATTACTTTGATACAAGACATGTCACTCTGAAGCATCAACAGCAGTGAAGTTACCAGGTCTTGCTACAATGCTTTCATATTTGAGTTTAACTTCAAACGTGTAGCTGACTGTGGACAGTAAATTGCTGAACTTGTGACGTGTGTTTACTCACTGGAACCTGTGGAAAACTGTACAACTCCAATTTCATGCTGTGATTATCTCAAGGCTGTGACCTGATGTCAGATGCTCTTTTGCAAATGTCAGCACTGAACCGTTCCTTAACTTGCAGTGAAATCTGATCTTGCAAATCTGAAGCCATAATGGCTCGTTTGTTTATCTTTTGTCTGCTAGGTTTAATTCGCTGAGACAACAGAACTGAATACAGTACAAACGGCAAACAACCCAGATGTTCCCACTTCCAAAGTACTACAAACATACCCAACTAGAAACCTTATAAGCAGAGATAACTGTGCTTTCGATCAAAAGCATGTACAGCAAAAATATTTGCAAATCAAAACACCTGGCATGGGTATTGGAGGCAAATGAGCCTATTGTTTAAAATTCCTAGGTACTCCATGCTGCAGCTCCTCAACATGCGCAAAAAGATATGGGCCACATTACACACATTCCTCTGGTAAATTTAACTTTAATCCATTTCAGAAAGTGCTCCACTCTACTTAAAAAGACGTCAGTCAGATTTAAGGTTTTTTCCAAACTTTCCATTCAACTTCGCTGACTTTAATTTAAAATTACGATGATAGCTTGAGAGTAGAACAGCATGAACAATCTCACGTTACATTTTTACAGCTGTTTCATGCTCCATTACTTGTGCTGAGCAACATTAAAATATATAAAAATTGATTGTTATCATTGGGGATGAATATACATTACGGAAGACATTGCTACTTTGCAGCAAACCCTTCTTATATGTGAAGTAAAATTGATTACTGTATGTGGTGCCTAGCTGTACAGTCGATGTAAACAAACTATAGAGAGGAAACAGTAGGAACAGAGAACAAGGGAGAGAAGAACATCCATCAAGGTCTTAACGTCATGTTCTGCAGAAAAAAAAACATAACATAAACCCTGTGTTAACTTTGTGATAATGAATATGTTTTCAACCTGAGTTTGACCCATTCATACCAGACGTTTGGTCATAGGTAAATACCCGGTCACTGCCAAGACCAGCCTCTGTAACTGCTATATCCTATAACTAAACCCAGTCTAAAACTGGCTGCGACAATATTGAGGCCTCACTAGAGATTCATGTTCAAGTTTATTTTAGGGTTATAAGAGCACAATTTATGGTTACAAGAGATAGAAGTCATCACACATTTTGTTCTGCTATTGTAAACCCACAATAATAATCTGATCACATCAAATCAGTTTCTTTCAGTAAAACTTAAACAGAAAATTACACACTGTGGTCTCGACATCTTTTCCACAACCCAGTAGCTCTACAATACTACTTCTATCCTATATTTGATGTTCACAACAAAATGCATTAGCAACAGATACAGTACACATCAAAAGAGTGTCAGTATTCTTTATGAATTTATATTGGTTGTGTTGGTGTGCAAGAGCATATGAAAATAAGTCCTAGAGATAATCTCAGAGTGTTGACATTGGCAGCTGTCATGTAGTGTTTGCTATGACTGGTGTAATACGGTTGGTACTGGTTGGTACATGCAAGTACAATGTTTTATATATCCTGAGTGTTTGATTGGCCTCTGTAGGAACAAGGCCAATAAGGTATCTTAAGTCTTAACTCCTTTCTTGTTCATTTTGTTTATTTGGATGACACACTTATCAGTGCATATTAACCTCTGTACAACAGGCTCAGTTCCTGTCACTATTTCCCCTCCTCTCTCTACCTTTGTTTCCTTTCCCCCTCCTCCTATAAATCGACTGGGTAC